TTTGTGCTGTAGGAGGATTTTGGAGTAGTCAAAAAGTAAACCAAACATTCACAGGGAGGACGTTCAAACTCAATGCAAAAAGAATTTGATCCCTTAACTTTCTTGTTGCAGGGCAACAGTGCTATAAACTCTGTTGTGCGGACCAACATGAGGGTTGTACATTTTCTGAGTTTAATACAGCTGTTACCTATAGAAATGATGAAACCCCTATAGTTTTTACACCATGAATCTTTTTTTTGTTTTTCCAAACAAAGTGATTTTGCTAACAGCTAAATTTGCATTTTTTTGTAACCAAGTGAGAGGCAGAGTGAGTGAGGGTAGGGAGAGTGCTGTGTGACTCCTTCCATACAGCCATATAAAAATCTGAGAAATGGTTCGACTTGGTCCGAAACAAACCATAATTGCGAAAAAATTTTATTTTATACCATCAATAAGAAAATACATGCTTTAAAAAACAAAACAAAAATATGAAGTTGGTTTAAGGGACACATTAAATCAATGTAGCTTACATATAGCAGATCTGCTAAGAGTTAAGAAACTGCTTCAATTGAACTGATGGAAATATTACAGTCAGTCGATCCCCTGTAATCTCTGAGTAGATGCTCACAGTAACACTTTAGATGCTGAGATCTCTTGATAAAGTGTGCTTCTGGCATTTTAAATCTGACAACAATGCATGTCACTTTTACTTTATCTCGTTATGGACTTTATTCCTCCAGCCATCTTGAGCACTATCTGAGCAATAACGAGATAAGAAGCAAAATCAATACGTAAAATCCGGAACGGGAGTCGCTTGGTAAAAGCCTAACCCAAGGGTGAACATATGGTCCTGCATTGCTGCTGTTAACCTTGCCGGGTGATAGCAGAGGGCAACCGCTTCTCCATCCATCTCCATCAGTCCTGCTGTAATCCGTTCCTCCCAGCTGCTCCATTGTCCTCTGATGACCAAGCTGCTCCATGTGACCTTCACACCCACACTACATCTCACAGCACAGTATCATCAAGATCATGTAAAAAAAAACAACAAAAAAAGGTGTAGTTTTCTGTTTGTTGTGTACCTCTCAGTGTGTCAAAATTGAACAAATGACATCACTGCTCAAACTGACAATGAGAATTTTTCACGAAATACTTTTCATTATGTTTCACACAGCTTTTTTTATCTTTAGTAAACAACAAACACAGCATCACAACCAATCTTAAAACAAAGGGCATCCTTTCCAGCTCCTGCTCATTTTTTAAACAGAGATATCCAGTTAATTAATTAAGGCTTGACAGTTAGAATGAAATCCACGTGTAGAAAAGCAGAACATCTTCATTATTCAGGTAAAAACAAACTAAAAAATACTGAAATACTTATCTAACAGGGGCAAATTAGTCTGCTCGCAAAACTCTGCTCAAACTCCTAAAATAATAACCTGTAAAAAACTGTAAGAGTTGTTTTAAGTTATTTAGATCTTATGCAGTTTACAGCTAACCTTTGATTTTTCTCAGTTTAATTGGCTTTGTGCTAGGAAGACTAATTAAAGTGCGATTCAAGCTCAAATCGTGGTCAAACATTTAAATCTGCAAACATAAGGAATACGAATAAAGCTTTTGATTGAAATGTGTTCAAACCAACTAACAATGCAAATTCAAGGGATTAAATAAAACATGACTCTCCTGGATCCAAATCTATAGAACCAAAGGGTATGTTACAGACTGTCTGTTTTGCAGCAACCAGGTTCTGAAATAGCCTGTAGGTCCAGTTAGCTTTGAGCAGTAATAAGACTCTGATCTTTGGCCTCCCATTGTGGATATCTCCCCAATGTGTTATTCCTGCATAGAGCCTCAATGGCAAAGAGAGCAAGCAGAGCAGGAGGCATTGCATGTCCATGTGATCTGTCTCTGCGAAGGTTTTGCAGAGCGGTCTGTATCTAAGTTTGGAGAGCAAAGCCAAAACTGCATCTTCCTCCACCAGTGTTCAATGCTAAATTTTAAATGTTGAAAAAAAATCCACCAAGGCAAATTTGTTAAGAGGTCATTCACAATATTCAACATTTTAACCAGCGAGTGAACATATGCTGTTTAACCCCTTCCTGCCAAAGTTTACTAAAAATGATGCTTTTTCTCCATTCAGGACAAAGACAGTATAAACAAATGTGGCCAAGTTAAGGTGACATTATATTTGCTATGTACTCACAAAGTTGCTAAAAAAGATGATGAAATTAAATGTATAATTAATTGTATAACAAAAAAATATATATATGAATATGAATTTCAATGTGCAAATAGAGTATAATATGAGCTTAAAAGTCATAATTTACACAAGCTTAACCCCCAGAAAAGTGTATGTGTTTTACATTTGTGAAAATGATGCAAATGGTGAACATAAATATGTTGCTAGGATTTTCTTCATGTTGGTGCACAAAATAAGCCCCTAAATGTCTGATAGACTTAAAATCTTCATCTTCAATTCAGCTGTGATGGGTAGAAAGGTTCCCCCGCAGTTACCATAGTAACTCAAAACTATTCTCAGGAGTGATATCAAAAAGCTTTTGAATGTCAAAGAAATGGATGCAAAGTGATCAGAAAGCGAGTCTCTGTCCGCCTCAGACTGGACTTTGCTGGCTGCAGCCTTATCTCATTTTTAGTATTTTGATTATAAGTTTGATAGATGGGAAAAGATCAATATACTCGTCAAAACTGAAAGGACAACATTTTACCAGGTTACTTGTCTATTTTCACAAACAGATCAGCAAACCTTCCACATTTCTCCATCCCCCCAAACAACTCCTAAAAATCAAACAGCTGCCAGTCAGACTTGTTTGTGCCATCCCTCAAACTCCCCAAATAAATCAGACGCTCCTTTAGATGCGTTTACAGCGAAGGTGGCGAGCGTTTTTCATGCTGAAGATGGATGAGTTCCATGTGTTGCCTGCCAGGGCTTCACTGACCAGCCTTGCTTTGCAGAATGAATGTCTAAAAAATGGCTGCAAGATTGTTACACAGAGGTGCTGAAGACACATGGTGTCATTTGTCAATTCATTAGAAAATGAAAACAGATTTGTCAGTTCGTACAGCACCTAATTTGCAGCTGTTTTAGATGTGATGCACGCTTCAGTAAACGCAGCACCAAAAATGTGAAGAAACGTTCTGCTTACCTCTGCAAAGCTGCCTGCTTCCACAGGACTAACTGGGGTCAGCTAATGGGATTATGTGGATTGAAAGCCATCATAAATGAAGTCCCTAGTGAGAAACCAGGAGCCCCGTCTATCCTTTAACCCTCTTTAGAGCCTTGCCTTTCGCAGCCACTCAGAAAGCCACACTGAGACTGCTCCAGCTCAGCTGCTGAAGCGGCTGTACTCAGTCCAATCGTATGTGTAAGAGGGATGCTTTTCACTTTTTAGCAGAAAAAACAACCTTTTATTAATAATTTTCCTTTTTTTACTTCCCTAAATCGATTTTCCATATTGCTCTTTACGAAACAGCTAATTTTTTGTCAGATTTAACAGACTGTCTGGTCCACAAGTCCTCCATTCAATTTTCTTCTGACCTTTAATTAGGCCATTTTTACCCATGAATGTGCTTTTTTTCCTCATTTGGCATGGAAAAGTATAAACTTCTGACAGGATGAAGACCTTAAAAAATATGTGACTTTAGCACTAAATAAAGTTATTGTGAAATGAACCAATTAAGAAACAAATTTTTGAATTGTCAGCAGGTCATCGGCTTTTGATGTGGTTGACATGATGCTGCTTGATCCCCTGATGATCTATAAGATCATTTTGAACAAATTTGTGAATTTAAGCAAAATTTCCAATTAGCTTCACAATCTTTTGTCAACTTTAATAGCTAACATAAGTTATTTTTAGATCACTCTGATATTTCACTCCCTTGCCGTTTTTCTCCCCTTTACCATGCTCTTTCATACCTATAATTTTTACTATACTTTCGAACAATGTTCATATATGTGACAGGATGACTGCGTTTCCAATTTTTTAATAGGTAAGACAACAGTATACATCTTATTTCTTGAATTTAATTTATTATTTTCGCCATTTTTTATGTTTTATATGGTGTTTTATGTCAAGTTTATAAATCATTATGTGCAAATATGAACTACTGTACACAGAAAGCACCACTACAGGTACAGTGGCCTTCGGTACTTTCATATTTCACTAATCAACTAATCAAATACACAATCCTTCTATTCAGAAAGACTCTGGCTGATAAGTTGTGACCAGTACATCACTTAGTCAAGCTCAGTAACACTGTGGTACAATTCTTTCACTGTCTGACCCTAAAGGTAGCTTGTTTACTTCAAGAAGGCATTACCTTAATTTTAGCAAATAGCGCTGGGTAATTAGCTTCCTCTGGCTGCCACTGTCCAAAAGCCAAAGCATTTCCATATAAATGACTTTAAAGGTTTCCAAAGTGCAGTGCCGCTCATGTGCACTCTGGCAAAAGTTGATTTCTTAAAATAAGCGCAATTTTTCTTTGAGAAGGAATAAGACATTTACATTTAAAATAAGAAAAAAACTTGGATTGTCCTATTTCAAATGCATATTATCTAACTATCTTATTTTAGGATGAAAAATATTAATTGCATTGGGAAGTAATCTTATTTAACTACTCAAATTAAGGGTTAATACACTTAATTGAAGAAATGTTGACTTATTTCTAGATCATCTTTGCAGTGCAGTTTGTCTTGAGTTGAGTTGAGGCGTTCTCCTCTTTTAGTTATCAACCTGTAGAGCTAGCCAAACAGCAAGGTCAGGATGCAGCAGTTGCATCCAGATGTTTTGCTTCCCACAGTAATGGAACAAAATTGTCTCCATAAATGTGACTGGACGGTTTGCAATGAATGTAGTTGACTTTTACTCTTTCTGTATTGGACTAGACTAGATTGAACAGACTGTTTTTGTAGTGTGCCCTGAGATGACATGTTGTGAGCTGGAAATTTAATTCAATTAAAATACTCTGTCGCACACATGTTGACTCTTTGTACCTTCTCGCTGCAGAAACGTGAGCTCAGACGGCGCAGAGGCCCGGCGCAGACTGAGAGAATGCGATGGACTGGTGGACGCTCTGCTGCACGCTCTGCAATCTGCTGTAGGGAAGAAAGACATGGACAACAAGGTAGAAAATAATCCAGCCTCTGTCACACGTCCAGCACAGCAGCAGGTGTTTGCCAGAATTTATGTCACAGCTAATGCCATCGCTGTTTCTCTCTTCTCTCCTCAGTCTGTGGAGAATTGCGTTTGCATTATGAGGAACCTCTCCTATCACGTGCACAAAGAGGTGCCAGGAGCTGAGAGGTTCCAGGATCCCTCAGCTCTGCAGGCTCCTGGGTCTGCAGGACCGCAAAGGAAAAAGAAGGATGACGCTGGCTGCTTTGGAGGGAAGAAGGCCAAAGGTGAGAAGCAAGGAGGAAAGAATGAAGACAGAAATATAGAGCAGGTTTTTGCTCCTGATTTCTTTTCTCCGCTATAATCCGTGCATTTGCTTTTATTGATAAAACGTTTTTCTTCAGGCTATGATTAAGGTATAGTCCTATCTTCTTGCTGTCCAAAAATAATTGCTGTAATGAAGTTAGCTCGGTCAGGAAGTGAGAGGTAACAACCAAACATTGACCCTGAACTCTGAGTACTAATTGGAGTCGCATCAGTTCAGAGGTCTCATCCACTTAAAGCCACACCAGGCGCTTTATGGAGTGAATTTTGCTCCATTATTGTTGCAACCAATGAATATGAAAAAAAAAAAATAAAAATGTATATTAAAACTTGAAAAATCTGCAATCCAGAATTGAAACTTTGAAAAACGTTTTTTTTTTTTTTTTTTTTTTTTTTTTTTAAACATTTTGAGAAAAAAACCCAAAAAACTGTTGTTTTCTTAGAATCTTATTTAAGTAATTTTTTTTTGTTTTTGCAGATTTTATGTTTTCCAAATTTTACTGTTTTACAAAACTTTATTATCAGTCCGCATGGATGTTTTCAGCAACATTTCTTCAGATCAATGAAATAAACAGAAATAGATTTATGAAACACAATCAAAAGTAGACATTTGAAACAGCATGTAAATATTAAAGTTGTGCAAAAAAAAAAAAAAATTGGTAACTTTTCTCTCAAAATCTTTATTTATGTATGTTTTCAAAGTTTCATTTCTAGATTACATTTCTCCCAAATGTTTATTTAAAAAACATGTTCTTTGCTTTGCAACAATAATGGAACTAAATTCACTCCATAGACCTTTACGTTATCGTGTGGGAAATCTAAAAATCAAACTGTTCAAGCAAATCCAAAGAAATGCTTCCCATATTTTCAAAAGCATGCATGTGTTTCAAAGGCAACATGTTTCGTTGCCTGATTTCAGTTTCTGTATAACCATTCTTTTGCAGCCTGCAGATGTAAGCAGGCTCTGATAAACAGTGATTGATGGTAAGATACTTTAGCTTACACTAAAAAGAATAAAAAAGAAGGCAGAGATGTTATTTTTAAACATTAGATTGACATATATGCTGCTTTTAGAGAACTCACAGTTAAGGTGGTTTGCTGACTTTGTGGAAAGAGACATGTTTTCCGTAATGGAGACCAAATACACATTCAATGATGACGCCTTCTTCATTTTTCACATTTGTTTGACTAAAAACTCATTAAGTCATAAATGTAAATGTCTCTGTCGCTTTTTAAGGGATCATCTTATTCTTCAGCTGCCTTGTCTCTTTTAGTAACTCCCAGCAGGTTCTCTGAAAAAAACCTAAAAAAATGCTGACATAACACTGGGTGCAATGGTCTTTATGTAATTTAAATGAATGCAAAAAACGTAAATCTAAATAATAGGTTCTTGAAATTAGTGTATTTTTTCCTGATTCAAGGAGGTAATTATTAGTGTTTCACCAATGCCATTTTTTTGGCCCCGATACCCGATACCTGGCTGTGCAATATCGGCTGATACAAATACCATTTGTTTGAAATTGAGGTGTGTGTGTATATATATGAAGAATAATAGTTAATATGAAGTAACAATAGTTGAATATACTTTTGGCTCTCAAAATGGTATCGTTGCCCTTTTTTGTTGGTAGTCGCCGATACCGATACCACCATTTTAGTGTTGTAGCATCGATACTAGTGTCGGTGCAACACTAGTAATTCTGTTAGAAATAGGAAACCAAAACAAAAATTTCTTCATCTTATTAAAGTGCCTTATATAAAATTATATCATTCCAAGGGTTACAAATATTGAAATCCTTTTTGCAGATCATTTGTTGAAATGAAGATTAGATACACTAAGGGCCGGATTTATCAAGATCCAATTTTGTGTGCAGTAATTTGCGCTCGCAAATTGGAATTTTGCGCGAGGGGCTGAACCATGGTTTGCGGGT